AAGACTGTTAACACTTTTTTAAATGTTAAAAAAATAGTTCTCAAAAAAATAAAAAACAACCCCAAACCGCTGTAATCATATATGGTAGAGCCTGAACAATCACAGATAGATTTAGAGCTTTTTCCATGTCACCTTTGGTGAAGTGGAATTTCTTAACGTGACTCCATTCGCCATGTCTGTAACTCCTACCCAATGACTGGCTGGGAGTGTGCAAATAATGTGTGTGAAGCACTAACAGAGAAGATCGATCAGTGTTGGTCTCCATGCTTCACTGTATAACAGCGTCATTTCAGAAGTAAGGACAGAGAGAACCCCCAGACCACCAAAGAAGAGCCCCCAGGGGAGCATGTTCTCACTCCTTGCTGGAAGTGGGGGAGGCAGCAGAGGCCATGCCATGCTGAGACCAGAGGCTGCGGCAATGAGACTGAGACAGAACAGTGGCACAGGGCCAAGATTATGAGACTGTGAGGCCGGGCAGCCAGGGCACTTCCTGGCTCTCAGAGGCAGAGGCCAACGGACCATGTGCCTGAGAACCAGACAGAGCCCTGGCTACTGACTGAGCAGAGGTATTGCTGTGGAGCAAGAACGATATCCCTACTGTTACCTGATTCTGGCCTGTGGTAACCTGCTCACTCCCCTAATGGTTGTTGTCAGGAGCTGCTGGGTCAGTTCTGACTCATGGAGACCTCATGCACAACAGAAGCAAACACTGCCCGGTCCTGCCCAGCCTCATCATTGTTCCTAGGCTTGAGCCCATTGATGCAGTCCCTGGGTCAGCCCATCTTGTTGGGGGTTTTCCTCGGTTTTGCTTCCCCTTACCAAACATGCCATCCTTCTCTAGGGACTGCCTTGCCTAACAACGTGTTCAAATCATGTGAGACGAGTGTCACCATCCTGGCCTCGAAGGATCATTCGGAATGTAATTCTTCCGAGAGAGATCCGTTTGCTCTTTTGCCCATCCGTGGGATTTTCACTATTCTTCACCCGCAGCGCAGTTCAAACGCATTGATCTCATTTCAGTCTTCTTTAGTCAATGTCCAACTCTCACGTGCGTATGAGACTACTGAAAATCCCAGGGCTTGGGTCAAGTACACCGTAGTCCTGAAAGGAGCATCCTGGCTTTTCCAGAGTCTAAAGAGGCCTTGCGCAGCAGATTAACCCAACGGAACTCGTCTCTTGATCTCGTGACTGTTGCTTCCAGGAGCACTGACTGTGGATCTAAGCAAGATGACGTCCTTGACAAATCCAACCTCTTCTCTGCCTATCATGATGTGGCCTTCTGGTCCAGTTGTGAGGATTTTGGTCTTCTTTACAATGAGCTGTTTTCCATACCCGAGGCTACAATCCTTGATCTTCATTAGCAAGTTCTCCCCGCATAATCGCCCATAATCGTGAGCGTTGTCTGATGGGTGTGTGTCCATTGCAACCAATTATCGAACCCTGCAGAAAAGCCGTGTCGTGGGAAGAAGAGTTGGTGTCAGGGTAAAGAAAGATGGAGGGGGTTAGAGGTATGTCTGACTTCTGCCTTGAGGCAATCGGCCTTGGGGCTGGGCGAAGTGGGAACCTCCTTCTGCCTTATGTAGCCAGAAGAGGTCAGATATGGCCGGGCGACGTTCCAGAAAAGGACTGTCTGAGGCTCCACAGCCCAGAAGTGAATTGCTTTCTGTCATGCAGATGCTAATGGGCCCAGTCAGATTACGGTCACCTATGCAAGGACATGACGCAGGGGCCTTGGAGATAGCTGGGCACTCACAGCCATCACTGCCATCGGGTCCAGTCTGACGCCTTTCGACCCCATAGAGAGTTTCCACATCTTTAGAGAAGCAGACAGCCTCGTCTCCCTCCCCCAGAGTGGCTAGGGGTTTTGAACTACCGACCTGGTGGTTAGCAGCCCAACACCTAACCCACAGCGGCCCCCAGGCTCCATCATTCAGTTTTACAATGATTTCTTCTCTCAGTATAATTCAGTGGTGTTTGTAGTTGATAATAGCCTTTAAATAGAATCTGTAATACATATCTGTATCCAGCTGGGTTTGTCTTTTTAATACTTAATATAAACTGATACCAAGAGTTTTTCATCATAAATTCCCCTTTATTACCTCCATTTGTTTTTCTCTTGAGGACAGTATATAAAACAGAAACTTACCCTGGAAAGAAATGTTACCTCCTCGTGCTTTTTTTTTTTTACTTAGAATGGGACTCTTCTCTAATGGAATGTGTTCTGTCCCGAGAAATGGATGCCATACCTCCTGAGCGCAAACATCCCTTATTTATTAGCCACCGATAGAACCATTAAAACTCATGACCAACATGCTCTTACATAATAAACTGTTTTTGTACATCGGTTTCCTTGGTTTCATTAAGAAAAAAGGTGACATGTCAATCCGTTTTTTAAACGTAGACTTTCCCTGCACCTCACAAAGAAGAACACAGTAAATTGATTCAATTAGACTAAAACACAAGTCTGGGGGCGGGCAGGAAAAGTGGATGTTCTGATCAAGATGAAAACCCAGACAACTTCTAGTTATTTAGCTATCTCCGTTTTATAACATTCCAACACAGTTTTCACTGTCGAGAAAAGCAAAACTAGTATACCCGTCACCTTCAACTTGATGCCACTGGTTCTGATCCACAGCGATCTGATACCCAACAGAGCCAGGCCCTACCCAGACCTGCGCTATCCTCACGATCATTCCTATGCCGGGGCCCACAGCTGAAGCCACTCTGCCAATCCCGCTCATTGAGGGCCTTCCTCTTTGTCCCTGACCCCCCGCCCCCCGACTTCATGCAGCAGGATGACCTTCTCCAGGGACTGGTCTCTCCTGACGTGTTCAAAGTCTGCAAGACAAAGTGTCAGCAGCCTGGCCTCTAAGGAGCCCTCTGGCCATACTTTTGTCTGAGTTAGTCGTGCTATGGTGTCTGTGTGGTGTTGTGATGCAGGAAGCTCTGGCATTGGTATTTCAAATGCCAGCAGGACTGGTCACCCAAAGTGAACAGGTTTCAGGGGACCGTCCCAAGGAAGAACAGACTCCCAAGAAGGAGCTGGCTGCCCACTTTAGAGGAAGCAGTCGCTGAAAACCGTGTGCATCGTGACACTGTAGGGCAGAGTAAATTGCCCCCCAAAATCTTCCCCCAGGGTTTCCAAGGCTGCAATCTTTCACAAAAGCAGCCTGCCACCCCTTTCTCCTTACCATAAGCCACCTCCCCCCACCCCCATCCCTCCAGAATCCACACTGGATCATAATCCAATCATGAGCAGCAATTGACGGCAGGTGTTTGCTGCTGTTGCTTGTTGGAGCCCCCACTGCAGAGGATTTCACACGAGGGTGCATCGGGAAAGCCTGTGTGAAGAGCAGAGGCCTGGAGGTTCCTTCTAAAAACCTGGAACTCTCAGGACGTTCCCAAAGGAGCCCTGGTGGCTTAGTGAGTTATGTGTTGGGTTCTGCAAACCACAAGGTCAGCAGTGCAAACCCAGCAGCAGCTCCACAAGAGGAAGAGGAGGCTTTCTGCTCCCGGAGACTGCCCGCCTCGGAGGCCCACCAGGGCGGTTTTCTTTTGTCCTCTAGGGTCACTAAGGGTGGGGATTGATTCATGGGAGTGGGTAGGTGGTGTGGGCAGGGCGTCTGGAGAAGCAGCATTTTACACATATGCTCTGGGTGACTCTCCACTAGGTGACGCAGGGACTCTTAATTTGAGAAACTGTCCTGACATGTAGCATTCTTTTCCACTTTAGTTAGCAGCCTTGGTGATAGCACGTCAGACAGCTGACTGCAAGGTCAGCCGTTTGAAACCACCAACCGCTCTGTGGGAGAAAGTCAAGACTGCTACTCCTGTAACGAGGGGCAATCAGAAACCCACAGGGGCAGTTCTACCTTGTCCTCCTATAGGGTCGCTGTCCGCCAGAATCGATGCGATGGCAGAGTTTGGTATTTCGGGTTCCACGTTAGTTCAGGTCACAGGAAACGGGGCCTAAACAGGCATCTGAAGAGCGTGTGGGTTCCCACACGTTTCACTCCGAGATAAATGATCAAGCACAGCGAGGAAGCACGGTTTCCAAACGTGTTGCTCCCACCAACGTTCAATGTTCAAAATCAGTGTGTCCCAAAGGGGGCGCTACTGCCCCCTGAAGGCCCTGGGATGCTCCAGGATGTGCAAAGGCAGATGTCAATGCCATCGAGGCCGTTCCAACTGCAGCAGCCCTACGTCTAGCAGAATGAAGCTCCGCAAAAACATGCCCACGAGGATCCTGGACCGTGGGCTAGAGTGCACACATTTTTAATTGCTGGGGAGGGTGATGAGTCATTTCTTTTTTTCCTGAAAGGGGGGCGGTCTACCAAATAAGTTTGGGAACGTATGCTCTAAATCAGTGATTTTCAACCTTCCTAATGCAACTCTTTAATACAGCTCCTCATGTTGTGGTGACTCCCCCAACCATAAAATTATTTTCGTTGCTACTTCATCACTCTAATTTTGCTACTCTTGTGAATCAGGCGACCCCTGTGAAAGGGTCGTTCGACCCCCAAAGGGGTCTCCACCCACAGGTTGAGAACCGCTGCTCTAACTCCTTGGCTCCCAAACTACTGGGCTGATCACTGGAATCACCTGGGGATTTGGTCAAACTAGAGATTCATGGGCTCCTCCCACCAGAGATGCTGATTCATTGGGTTGCAAATGGAGCCCAGGGATCTGTAGTGTCACCAGGTCCCTGGGGGTTTCCCAATGGGCAACCAGGTTGTTTGGGAACCCAGGCCCTAAAGCTTATAGGTGAAGCCTCCTTCAGTCTTGTCCGTGCCCCATAAACCAAACTCCCTGCCCTCGAGGCGAGGCTGACTCAGCGACTTTACAGCAGCACAAAGCCCCATCTTTCCCCAGTGGAGCTGCTGGTGGGTTCGAACTGCTGCCCTTGCTGATCGCAGCCCAGCCAGCAACCACTCCACCACCAGGGCTCCTCCCAGTGACTTTGTTGTCACCCTAGGTCTTGCTGCTTCCCAGGCTCCTACCTCCTTTGGTGACAGGATAGAAATGTAATCTTCATAGATGATCCGGGCCTTTTCTTCAATGACTTTTTTATTCTGCTCTTTCTTTAAGTCTTCGCAGGCAAGCCAGAAAAGCAGGTTCTCTTCGCTGTACTCGGTGCGCAGGAACTCTCTGAAGAGGTTTCTTCCCGCGGGGGCCTTCATCATCCTGTCGAAATTTTGAGACCAGGACAAGACTTCATCGGCAGTGGGGTTGTGGCTGGAGAGAGAGAGAGAGACACAGAGAGAGAGAGACACACAGAGAGAGAAAGAGAGACTGCATTAAAGACAAGGTTGCCTGCAAGATGAAGATGAGCAAGAGCTAGAATGCTGTGCAATGCTGCCCTCTAGTGGCCAGTGGCCTGCCTTCACTGCAGGCGGGCCAGCGTCCACAGGCAGTGGTTTAAGAGACTGCTTGCTCCTTGCCCTCCTTGGCCCAATTCCCTACTTGAACCACCCTCCTGCCACTGCCACCCTTGCAACTGCCACCTTTCGTGCTATGGGTTTCCCCTGGAGACAATTACAAATACCTGCGGGGTCTGTAGCCTATTAACCTTTTCCTCCACCCTTGCATCTTATTGTCCATTGATTAGTCTCTCTTCAAGGAACGGCTAGGTGGTCACACTTCAGGGGTGTTTCTATGTGAGACTGTAAACTAAACACAGACTGGCTGATAGGGGCAAACGGAAAATAAGCTGTGAGGCTTGTGGACAAGTGACACAAGTCTGATTCCTAACTCATTTCAGTAACAACATGTGTTTCCAGCAACTAAAAGCTATGCTGTCACCATGTAAGGCTGCTAAAGTCAGGCCATGACCATGCGAGTTCAGTTAGCACTGTTCCACCGACACTGGATCTGTACTGCTAGCCTTAGGCGGATGTTCCATCTTGTAAATGGCGTTGGCATTTAACTTTTCTATATGAATAAACAAAAGCACATTATAAATTCCTCAAAAGCTCGTCGAGGATCATTTCCTGACTGGGAGTGCAGGTTAGCTTTTTGATGGCATTGGTCTTCGGGACCCACCTACCGTAAAACCTGCAAGAGCATCAGGCATAAGCCTGTCAAAGGTTTGCATTAGCTACTTCTTCCAAAAGGAGCAATAGAACAAAAAAGTGGGGCAACTTGCGGGACTCAGTAAAAACCAGGCCGTCGTCTCCAGTTCTAGCTCTCACAGGCTTGGCTGTCTCTCTCAGAGCTAAAATGATGATAACTGAAAGTCACCAAGAAAAGCCCCGTTGCAATCAAACAAACAAACAAAACGAATGGCCACAGCGTCCATCATGGCTCACAGGGACCCTACAGGACAGGGGAGAACTTCCCCTGTGAGTCTCCGAGACGGTAACTCTTGCTGACTGTAGAAAGCCTCTTCTTCCCCCCTTGGAGCTGCTTGGTGGTTTCAAACAGTTGACCTTGCGGTTAGCAGCCCAAGGAGAGCTACAACACCATTAGGGCTCCTCCCATTGCAATACAGCCACATACATGTGGTCTCTGGAGTTAGTATAAACATAGTAAGGGAAAATATTACCCAATTAATTTCTTACCCATTTTTCCCTCAGGCTAAGGAACAAATAGAACGATGAACAAGTACTGAACTCTTCCTGAACTCTGGCTGGTAGGTTTGTTTAGCGTAATGATATGAGTTAACTATTTGGAAACTACTGAATGTGTGTTCTAGGCTGGAGCGGGAGTAAATGTATTGTTGTTCACAGGGGAGAAAAGAGCTACCGATATGGTATGGGCAGAGATGACAATGAATTCCAATTGGAACTGGAGGGCTCGGGATGATAGCAGCGTCTTTAATGGTGTTAGCTACAGAGGCAGACAGATGCCTGTGTGCTCCCTACTGTGGTGGTGCTGTGGGATAAGTCTGCTAACTGCAAGGTTGGTGGTTCAAATCCACCAGCCACTCCTTGGGAGGAAGATGAAGCTGTTGGCTCTTGTAAGGCTGTGCAGTCGCAGAAACCCTAAGGGGCAGTTCTACCCCATCCACTATAGTTGCTATGCGTCAGAATCTACTTGATGACAGTGGGTTTGAGTCTGGTGCATTGAAGGGGCCTAGAAGCTAGTCAGGAACCCTGGTGGTGTAGTGGTTACATGTTGGGCTGCAATTTGCAAGGTCGGCGGTTTGACACCACAAGCCAATCCATGGGAGAAAGCTGGGGCTTTCTACTCCCCTACACAGTTACAGTCTTAGAAACTCACAGAGGCAGTCCTAGAACTCACCGGGCAGTTCTGCCCTGACTTAGCGGGTAGCTATGAATCAGTATTGACTCGATGGCAGTGCCTCTGGTAGACACTCTTGACTGCTCATGAAAGTGACAGTCAAGAGATCAAACACAGCACATTGCTTTGGGTAAATCCACCGCACAAGAATTCTTTCAATTGTTGGTAATCAAGGATGTTGCTTTGAAGACTAAGGTGTGCCTGACCCAAGCTGTGGTATTTTCAATCATTTCAGATACCGATGAAAGTTGGACCATGAATAAGGAAGGCCCTTACGTACACCTGAAGCAAACACTGTCCGGTCCTGCATCATCCTCACAACTGTCCTGTCCAAGACATCAGGCTTGGTGGAACAGAGAAGCCGCATGAAGGAGGAAGAACCTTGACAAGAAGGATTGACCCAGGGGCTGCAACAATAGGGCTGGACGGAGCAGTTGTGAGGATGGTGCGGGACACGCCAGTATTGCTTTCCGTGGAACCTGCAGGTCACTGGGAGTGGGAACCCATGAGCTGGCACCTGATAGCAACAGAAACAACGAGTCTGTGGCGCAGGGCGTCCACAAGTGTCCCGATCTTCGTTTCTAAGGACTGCTCTCGCCTGAAAGGCACCAGCGATCCCTGATGAAGTGGATGATTACAGGGTTGAGCCTTGGAAAGTACCAGATGGTCCTACAATATCGTGTTCTGTCTAAAAGCAAGGACATGCTGAAAAAATAGGAGGACTTGTGCAAAGGACTCCCGCTGGCCAATTCTGGGGCACCTTGAGAATGAAAATAGCAATGGTAGTAGGCGCTGACCCACTGCCAGACAAAAGAGTATCCATAAGTTCAGACAGATCAACATTTTTAAAAAAGTAACTCAGTGGCAGTGAACTGGCAGTTCTGTGCTAGGTTCATAAAGGTAGGAACGAGGATGGAATTGGAAAGATCACTATTAGCAACCACCTATGTTGTAATTCCAAGCAAGATTGATGAAAGGGTGTTAAGAGTAAAGGCCTTGGTGGCATAGTGGTTATGTGTTGGGCTTCTAACTGCAAGGCCAGTAGTTCGAAGCCACCAGCCACTCCTTGGGAGAAAGACGAGGCTTTCTACTCCCGTAGAGATTTACCTTTTCTCGGAAAATCTCACGGACAGTTAGTTGTACTCTCTCCTCTAGGGTCTCTATGAATCGGGATTGACTCCATGGTAGTGAGTTTTAGACATTTTACAACGGATAAGCCACATGGTAAGCGTTAATAAGACAGGTCTCTCTGCAAGGGTCGATAACAACATGCAACCCTTTGGCCATAGAAGGCTCGCAAACTCATCGGGATGAACTCATAGCACAAGGCTCTCCCAAGAGAAGCTGTTCCAGGCATCACGCTAGAAAAAAATTCACCACCATGAAGTAGATGGCAACTCATAGCAACCCTGTAGGCCAGGGTGGAGTTGCCCCTGTGAGTTCTAAGAGTGTAACTCAGGACGAGAGCTGGCAGCCTCACTGGGCTCCCTCAGAGTGGCTGGCCGTTTCAAACTGCTGACCTGGTGGATGGCAGTCCAACACATACACTCCTCTCATTAGGGGTGAGTTCATGAATGGTTTGACCAGGCTTGTGGATGATGTTATACATCTCCAAATGGCATTTTTAAAAAAAGGTTCTCACCCCCACAGAGAACGCACCACAATCACAAAACCAGACCTGCCCACTAGGGTGTGTGTTCCATCGGAAGGCCCATCCCACATGGAGGGGGAGTAGGAAGTCGCCACGGAGGCTGGAGTGCTGGGTGGTCGATGTGAGAAACATGCCAACCGCCCAGGAGCAGCACGGAGACACCGCACACACACAGCACACAGACGGCACAGAGAGAGACACAGACACTACGTGCACACACAGCACATACGCAGCCCAGAGAGGCTCGCGCTCTCGTACTTACCATTCCTCCACAACCTGGGCACTATCCATTTTGGTGGTCAGGGCTGGTCTCCCCGCACTGTCTCCTCTCTCTTCATTCCTAACAGTGAGGCTGCAATGTAGTACAACACTTTATTTTGTCTAGGGCAAGTTATTTTGTTTTACAAAGACACGAAGGCATTCTCTCTCTCTCTCTTGTAGGAGAATCACCATCACAGAAGAATTTTCTGGTTTCAAAAGGGTGAAACTATTGCAAGCACACAAAGAGCAAAGGCCCTTTCCAAAGGCCGCTGTCAACGGAATGGAGAGCCAATGGTTACTGACTAGAGCAACTTCAAATCTCCAGACAAACGGACGTCCGGACCCAGGCCGACCGCACTCGTACACACTCATGAAGTCAGTGAAAATCCCTGCGATCCCCCCATGACCCTGCACTGCGACACTGGACCTCCAGAGCATTGTGTTGCTCTTTTTCGTTGAGTGGAAACGGATTGCGGATGTTTGTTCTAATCAGTTGATTTTGTTTGGTTCTTTCCACCTGGCGGCTAAGGAGATCCATTGTCTCAGAGTCAGATTTGGCCGGACTGTATTTACATCCTCCTTCCTGACGACGTGGAGGAGCCTTGGTGGCGTAGTGGTATATGTTACGGTCAGCAGTTCAAAACCCCGGCCGCTGTGTGTGTGAGAAAGACAGAGCTTTCTACTCTTGTAACGAGCTACAGCCTCGGGAATTCCCAGGGGCAGCGCAGCCTGCCTGTCCTGTGCGGGTGGCTGTAAGTCAGCATCGTTGTGATGGCAGTGAGTTTAGGGTTTTCCCCTGCAAACTGAAGTTTTCTGACCATTATGCTCCTTATTCATCCAGTAGACTTATATGTGATACTGGTTTTGCTCTTTCTCCCCACTGTCAGCCACCCTGCAAGTTTTCTATAATCTGATTTGACAAGTTCCTGGAAGCACAGGGCGGACCCTGAGGGTCTGGAGACCAGAGCAGTGGAGAGAGGCAGTGTGAGAGAAATTCTTGGAAACACAGGTGTTATATTTCTACAGGTTTAGGGCAGAAAAGGGCAATCTATGAGCTTTCGTCACCCAAACCCCCAAACCAAACCCACTGCACTGAATCAGTTCTGACTCAAAGCTACCTGACCCTCGGTAGGGCTTTCGAGACTGCGTTTTTCACAGGAGCAGGCAGCTCCTTCTTCCTCCTGTGGGACAGCAGTGGGTCTGAACCTTCCACCTCGGGGTTCCCGGCCCAACACCTAACCTACACTGCCTCCAGCGCTGGCTGTGCGTAATGGAGAAATTGTCTGGTTCCAGGTACATTGTAGCTGGCAGGGGCTTACGTTGGTTTCTGGTGTAGAGGAGAATCCGTGGGAGGTTATGAGGAGCCCCTGAGAAGCAAGGTGATTGGGGGCAGCTCAAGGGACTGAGGGTCAGCACAGTGACTGACTTGTCTGCCCAGAAGCCGAGGGGCTTTAGGGGAGCCTGCTACAGATCAAAGAGGAGGCCGGTAGCATCTCTTCCATGTGTCCTTTGTCCATTCATTCACATACCTGTACGAAGCCATGGGAACACTCCTTTTCAAGCACCTTTACCTGCCCGGCACTACGAAGCACCAGGTCCTTTTGTTTAACCTTTACTTTTTCCACACACGTCCACACCGTCCCCATTTTACAAATAAGCAAAGGGAGATACCTGGCAGGTGGGCCCGAATGTGTGACATGGTGGAAGTTTGAATGCACATCTGTCCATCCCTTCTCACCTCTCACAAAAGAAACCCCAGTGCCCCACTGTCAAGTCCACTCTGATGCACAGCGACTGTAGAACAGAGTTGATGATCCACAGGGTTTCCGAGGCTATAAATCAAGGCTGCCCGCCTCATCTTTCTCCCAGCGAGCGGCTGGAGGGTTCAAACCATGAAGTATTATTTTATCCGACTAGCCCTGGTGGTATAGTGGTTAATGGGTGGGGCTGCTAACTGCAGGGCCAGCAGTCTGAAACCATGGGAGGAACTGAGGCTTTCTAGTCCCATAAGAAGTCATAGGTCCTCTCTGTGCATTGGCCGTTCGGAGCGGGCTTGGGGGGCCAGGATGTGCTCCACTCTTTCTTCCTCCCCCTTCATTTGCTCCGGTGTGCTCTGATCAGACATGTCCCTCTCCCTGAGTTGTAGCTTCAATGCTGTCCTCTGAAGGAAATTCTTCTGGGGGGAAGGGGGCTGTCCACATCAATGTCCAGAGAGGACCACAGGGCCGGCCCCACTACGAGACATGACATCCCTCACTGACCCATAGCGCTACAGGGGCCAACACTGGAGACAGAGTGTGGGGATTGCGCATGATTTGTCCCCAGCACACTGAGGCGAAACACTAAGGGCATGCAACCGAACAGCAAGGGGAGC